AAAATGCTCTCTCGTTAGACAAAACACTGTTTAAAGTGTGCTGTACAATGGTGAGCACATATGAGCTCATTTTTCTGCCAGTTGGTCTTAAAATAAAATGTGCACATCAGCTTGACATACAAAGCTGATGGAGACATATCCTGAATCACAGCAGCTGTATCCAAAGGTGATTTGACAGCTAATTAACAGCTTTTAATTTTTTTTAAGATCTTTTCTATTATCCTCTACTTTAAGCCTGTCCTTTCTATAAAAATATCTTCCCATGAATGATTTCTGGTTGCAACATAAAAAAGAAAAGAACTGCACCCAATATATTTTGCATATCACTATTGGGTCTAAATTATATATATATATTTTTTTTAGATAATCAAAACCATAAGTTTCCATTGTGTTATTTTCATTGTAACCCTCTAACTTAATTGGAGGATTACATCCAGCTCTGGTTTCAATCAAATTACATTGCGGGAGTCCCCATCTACTTTGAGATTCATATTGAATTTCAGTCTGAGATCTCAAGGCAAACTTGAATGCTCAGCATTGCCATATGTTGACTTTAAAAAAAAAAAGGCACCAGTGGGTAGCAGCTGGGTCTGATGACCTCTAATGTAACACCAGATAAAGAATGAACAAATGCTGCACAGTTGCTTCTTTCTTTGTCTTTGTGTGTGGTTTATTTCATGCTACAGGTCCAAAGACAGCTGTAAGAAAAAAAATAAAACTAAAGACACAGAATGAGGAGATATGCTTGAAACAGGAAGCCCGAAATAATGGCACAAACATCCATTTCCTGTTTAGTCTTTTTTTTTTATCTCTGTAAGCCATATTGGCTGACAAAGAGCGGGAGGAGATTATTAATGGTAATGGCCAGGTGTTAGCATGCAGTCAGACAGCAAATGCGGCTCCTGAACGGGTGGTTGCCATGGTAATGCAGAGCAGGAACAGCATTTGTCTTTGTCAGGGAAGGATGGATGATTAAATTGTCCTGGTGGAGACGAGAAGAATCAGAATGTGTGAAGCTATCCAAAATGGGCCAAAATGTCATCCCGCTGTTGACCCGTACATCAGCAAAGAGGCCACCAGTCATGTAGAATCACCTTATCAGAAATTATGGAAATCCAATGAAATCTTAAGTCTGTCCAACCTGCCATTACCATATTCGATGGGATTTCCTTAATCATGTTAAGATCTTACCTCTGCTGTAATCTCAAGATGTGCAAACTATTTTTAGATACTTACTTTGGAAAGAAAATCTCATATTAAGACTTTTTGTTTGGTCCAAATAAGTGTCTCTGTGCTATAGCTGGTTTAAAGGTTCAGTGTTATTGAGACTTGACATTTTTATCTTTATCCGGCTTATTCTATTACCTCAACATATTCAGATATTTTCAGATTTAGGAACCGTGAGTCCTGTCTACACATGCATTTTAAAATTTTCTAAGTATGGCAATATTTTGTAGTTCAATTGTACGTTTTTTTCAATTAAGATTGAAATTATTTTAGTATAACCAGCAAAAAACTGTTCGAGACAATTTAAAAAAAATCATTGGTCAAAACAATTGATATCTAATGACAGCCTTTGTCCTGTAAGAGCTTAAAGATAAATATCCAAATCCATTAGCTGCCTGGAAATGCATTAGTGAGTCTTCCCCTCAGAAGCTGTTGATTAATTGTGCCAGTAACAAAGAAATGCCTTCACCAGGAGAAACAAAGCGCTACGAGCCAGATGGACAAATACATCTAAATATAGACTAAACAGCAGAACGGACTGCCTATATAATCTCCTGGGTGTTCAAAAACACGCCAGCAGGACAATTTTGATGCACGCCAGGGAAACCAGCTCTCCGACAAGCATCCGATCTGCAGTGACTCAGCAGCAGCTGTTGCCATGGGCTACCAGGCAGGACACACCAGGGGATCGGCTCAATGCTGACACATCTGACCCCCCCACCACCATATCCCTGCAGGGACTCCACCCAATCAGCTGCTCTATGTTTAAATCCACTTTCAGTGGAAGGCTGAGGAGACGGGAAATGCTAATCCCATCCCGGAGCGTGGACCTGGCCTAGTCCCTTCAGCACTTTCCAACTAAACCTGCACAGCTAAAAGAAAAAAAAAAAAAAAAAAAGCCCCCCCCCCCATTGAGATTAATGCCTCATTAGGAGCAGCTGATTGAACTAATCCACTTAGTGACATCCAACTTGTTTTAAGATCAGACTTGATTCAAAGGGAGAGAGGCCACTGTGTACATTGACAAGGTCCTCACCTGAATACCAATTTGGTTGATTGTGTCTACAGTCAACCACAGATTTCTTATTCCAAATACTTTGATATGTGGTTCTTAACTCAGTGCTGTGCTAATGACCTCATAGGTAGTGGCTAATTTAGGACAAAGGCCGAGCTAATCTCCTGCAGAGGCAACACCATGGATTCTGGGTCAGGCCAGGATATAAGTAGCAGTAAACTCGTTTATACAATGGAAACCAATCTCCAGTCCCTAAACTTTTAGACACTCCCTTCTCCAAAAGATCTTTATACAAGCAAGGTGTGTGGACATGGAGTTTGGCAGTAGATCGACTGACTCCATCCACTTCCTGCATTACAGGAAAGCAAATCAGATTCAAGTCCATCTGTTGGGCTTCAACAAAAATTTTAGTAAAGCAGGAATAAAGTAGTCAAAGGATCATTTTAGTAACAAATTCTTTTTATTACAACATTTCACGGTTTTCCATTTTCTGGCAATGGTTTGTGGCAGAGTAACATGACTGCTGGGAAATTTACAAAACTCCAAAAGAAGTTTGATTAACAGTTCAAAGCAAAAACACAGAACCAGTTACCCAAACTATTTCCTCAGTTGAGACAATTCAGAGATTGCAACACAAGAGCAACTCTAAACTGCTCAAAAAAAATAAAAAAAAGGGCCCAAGTATGTTACAGTTGGACCATGGGTTAGGTCCATAGAGCATCTCCCAGATCAAGATGGAATCCGTCATTTTAATCAGTGTACACGAAAAAAAAAAAAAGAAAAAAAAGTGACAGTATCAATTTTTTGGGGCATTTACATTTTGGCCAGCGTACAAACAAAGTGGTGCATTTCCGAAAGTTAGAAGACGAAAAAAAAAAAAAAGCCAGACGCCTCAGCTTTGGCGCAAAAGCAGCCACACAGGATGCCGGGTGGTGAAAGGTGGTGGTGGTGGTGAAGGTGCGACGAAGATGAACTTCCTGGAACGCAGGCCACGCCCTGGTCCCTCAACCTGCACGTTAGCGTTGGCAGTCTAGGTGGTGTAGGAGACCAAATCAGGGCCCTCCCCTCCTTCCTCGGTTACAGGCCGACAGAAAGGAGCGTGTAGGTGGGAGCTGGAGAGGAGGGGATGAGGCTGAAGAAGGCATCATCCGTCCACACAGCTGTGCAGCTTGGTTATAGTCGTCGATTCATAATTTCGGTTACAGAGTTATACAGCTAAAAAGAAGTGACTGAAAACAAGGCAATGCAGGAGGAGACGGGGGTGTACAGTGCATGATGGGAAGGGAGGGGCTTCATGATGATGCCTTCTCCTGTTCAATGGCTGTGGGAGACAAAAATAGGGAAATTTAGCCAACCTTTCCCAGTAGAAAAAAAATTTATCAAATTTTTTTAAAGAACTAAAACTTACTCTCTTTTGTAGGCAGGGGGTTCTTCTCCTGCGTCTCGGTCTTCTTCAGCTTTGACTTGTCGAAGCTGGTCACTTCAGAGATGTCTGGTTTGTCACTCATTGTTGCAGTTAGTCTAAAAAATAATAATGAGGGAGAGAAACCGTGCAGGTTAATGTGCAGCCGGTTCAAAAGTCTGCATTTAGACAACAGTCTCAGTAAATTCACCCAAGCATGCAGTCAGCCATGGCGTTTTATCAGGAGGAGAGGGGGTGGGGAGGGCGTTGCCTCAAAGAAAAAAAAATCTCAGCCAACAAATATCTAACCCCTCAGTTCTCTCCTTGTAATGTGCAAGGAAATGAACCGCCTCCTTTTGTTCGCTTAAGTCTGATTTGATCAGCATGCATCCCCAGCTGCTCTGTGCACACAGCACCGGGATGTTGCACCCAAGGAGGGGAGGTGGGCTCCGCACAATGACACAGACTCCTTCCAAAACACCATATTTACATAACAATGGAGTTCCCATGCAGCGTAAGCTGAGAAAATAAAATGCTTGCATTTTTTTGCTTTAAGAGGAACCTTTAAGAGCTCAGATGTTTAATTTGTGAAACTGGTTGCAGCTGTGCAACATCCGCAATTTACAAATCACGCATTTCTGCTGTCTGGTCGCAGTGTGAGGGAACCACCGCCCAGATTAACAGTCAACCACAGTCACTACAGCTTTAAAAACTATTTAAGATGGTTTTTTTTTTTAAACGAGTAAACTCAAAATGCCTCCCAGATAGGATAAGAAAATATAAATAAAGGGAGGAGATCCGTGGAAGGATAAAGGCAGCGGTTTGATAACGGGAGCTGAGCGCGTGCAGCTCACGCGCACAGAAAGCAACAAAGAAAAACGCTCAGCGCTCGCGCCCGAGACAAAGCGCGCATTAAGCTTTTACGTTCCTTTACGCCATAATGATTACCAACCAATAAAACAAAAAGAATACGTTTTATTTTATTTCATTGCACCCTGCCGTGCCCCCCGCCCCCAAAAAAGAAAAGAAAAATCCTTTCTGCACCTTAATTCAATCTTAACCTCAATGATTCCCAGAGAGCTGCCAAAAACACATAGAATACAAAAGAATAAAAATCCCTGAAAAGAGAAGAGTGGCTTACCGAAGCGCTGGCTTACTGATGAGAGTTGTCTGCTCAGTGGGATGCAGCAGTAATGCTTGAGCTTTTGCGCAAGCCTTTCATATAGTCAGAAATATGCTAATTACCCCTGACGTCACCAGTTTCCCCTCCTTTTTTATCCGCACACTGTCGCCATCTACTGGAGAAAAATGGAAAATTACCTCCCAACACAGTCTTGAAGCAAATAGTTAAAAGAATCAACAGTGGGGATTTTAATTTGTATTCGAAATTAGATCAACATTGCTTCGTACGAAACAGAGACTGTACGGTATCAGTTAAACTGAGATACCTTGTGTGCGTTAAAAAATAAGTGCATAAAATACGCTCTTCCTGCTTCTGTCATGCTTGGCTCTTCTTCTTGCAAATTTATGAAGCCCGGGCGCCACCTGGTGGCGATTTGACGTACAACACGAGTAATTTGGTGCCGAATGGCAATTCATCAAACTTGTTAA